AATTAGTGGAATATTTTTTTAAAAATTTGTCTAAAAAAACCTGCCGGGGGAGCAAAAATTTTTTTTAAACTTGGTAAAAAACCCAAAACTAATACCAACCCTCCTTAACCCCCCCCCTTCTTCCCCCCCCCCCCCCCACCGCCTAAAAAAAGGAAAAGAATATATACAAAAGAAAAAAAAAAAAGAGCCGTGTCTCTTACAATCATAGCAAAAGCATTTGAAGAAACAGGGAAGAATTTGATTCTATGAGCCAACACATGGTTAGTCAGTGAATCATCAAGAAGTGGTTGACAGGAAAGAACACAGATGGTCCGTATCAAGGCAGACACCCTTTGTATAGGTTATAAGACAGTGTTATTAATGTGCAGCTAAACAGGCATCGGTTTTCATTTCAATATGTTTAACTCGCTAAAAACTTCAGAGCTTCAAACCCTGACCGGTTTCATTAACTGTTGTGCGGCGCCATCCGTTCCCTCGATCGTCAAAACAATACCGCCATGTACGCGCAGCATGAGAGTAGCCCAGTAACCCCTATCCAAAATTCGCGGGATTACCCCCCCCCCGGGTTCAAGACTCTACTTCAAGTTTCGGAGAGAGATCAAGCCGCTTTGGGACGGTACTGGTCAACTGCTGTATTAAAGATGTAGAAATCGGTTCGGTTCGAAACCTTATCTGACCGAAGTCGCGTTTGGGTATATACGTATCTTGAAAGACCTTAAGATGCGACGGCAACGGCAACGGCAACGGCAACGGGAACGTCAAAAAAGCAATAGGTTAAGATTAGCAGAGCAACAACTTTGCACGTGCATCACGCCCTTTTGTACATTTCTTTGCCGTCACAGCACGACCACGACGTGAAAATGCCTAATTTCACGCTTTATGGAGGACGTAAACAAGCTACTACGACATTTTCTTTCTCTTTCTGAACTTGGATATGGTTCTTAGAAATTCAATTCCAGGAGAGTTCGCCTAAATTTAACAAAGTAAGTTAATTGAAACTGTCGCGATGAAGATTGAATGAACGCGACTTCACTTTTTAGGCGATCTTTTTCCCTGATGTCGCCTTCCTCGGATCTGAAGGTCCTAATTAGTGAAAACTCTGACTTCTGACACCACTGACGGTCTCTACGGACAGAACTATTCCTACGTTCTCACACCTCGTAGTCTTGCCGCAACTTCCGGAACGTAAGTGATAACAGATATCAGCTGTGTTCTAATTCGATCGTCCTTAGTGCAAGTGAAGCCAGACTGCTCTGTTAACTCTATTAAAGGACGGCCCATTAGAAAACTTATGGGGGGGTGGGGCGGGTGAAGAACAAAAAAAAATTCGCGCAAGGGAAAATTAAATGAAAAAAAATTCTTGCACCCCAATTAACCCTAAAAAGTATTCATGCTATGGCCTAAAAAAATGCACACAAGGAATCTGATAACGAAAAAAAATTCCTCCGGCTCGAAAATTCCCCTCCCCCCCATAACTTTTCTAATGGTCCGTCCCTAAATTTAAGTGTTATTTACCACAGTTAGGATGGCGCGAAGGAGGAATTTGCAAATTTAGGGGGGGGGGGGGGGGTGAGGGGGGGGAATTGATTTAGGTGGCGTTTAGGTCTGGGGGAGGTCGGGCTTTGAAATCATGTATCATCCCACAGATGACTTTTCTCGTTGCCCATCCTCTAATAGCACGAGTGCCATGTGATAGCAAAACTTTTAAAATATACCTACGGGCAAATGAACAGGTTTGACAGATGTTCTCGCACATTTACATACGGAGACTCAGATACAACGCACGATACAATCAACTGCAAAAGGAGCCCTTCTTTGCCCATAAAGTGTGAAGATGCCTTTAAGAGACTTTAATTCTTTCTCTGTCTTTTTAATGAATTTTGGGCGCCTTCTTCTCCATTTACTTACTGTTATATTCGTCAAACGACAATGACCATGTTCATCCGTATCTCGCTTGTTTTTTCTCAGTTTCGCAGTGAACTTCTAGCAATTTTTGTTTTCCTAAACAAGTTCACGCTTTTCTTTCGGCAAATTATAATTCCATTTTTATTGTCTAATGTAAATTACTAGTTCCAGTTTGGCCAGTCGTCCTGACGCAATTAATGTATTAAAATAAAAAATATTTTATTTACATCAGTACAAAAAGCTGAATTGCTTTAAAATCGTTAAAAACCAAGGATATAACAGATATATCTTACTAAGCATAACTCAAATAGCTATACAGGGAGTTAATATACTTCTTAACCAAGCAATGCTTTAGTTTGACAGCTCATGGTCCGACAAACTTGCCGGTTGCATATATTTTAGCATGTGAAAACTCATAGAGTCACTAATTTGATTCTTTACGGCCTAGGCAAAGTAGAATGTACAGTTTATTAGTCCTTTCCGTCGTGAAACAGTTGAAATTCAAAGACGACGAAAAAGAGGTGGTTTTTAACACCACTAACCGCAAGCAAAAAGGAAAAAGGGAATTTTTTTGAAAAAGTCAGTAAGAAAATTTTTTTCGTTTTCTGGCTATTCTTACATTGTAACTGATGAAATGAGAAGTTAGAGTCAAGTTAAGATTTTCCTAGTCTCTTTATTTAAAAGTTTAGGCAGTCCGGAAATTTTTTTTGCTCTATTTTAAAGTTCATCACGTGACTTACAACCAATGTGTGTTAGACTTCAAAGTCAAGAATTATATTTACCACTGATTGAACTCCTCTGATAAAAATAAGCGTCTTGGATACCAAGCAAGTCGGCCTCCCACAAACGCACAAAACTACCTTATTATTATTCGTAAACTCAGTTCTGTTAAGATTAAAATCTTTTAATGCTAGTGCTACGCGAGTGCTTGCGTGATCGACCTTAACACTTGACGAAAATGACCAATATCTTATTCCTTAATACAGTCTGTAACATTTCCATATTGGCGTGGAATCGTTTTGTCAGATTAAAGACCACCGAAACCTAAACCCGATGCAGAAGTTAAGTGTTTATCTTTCCTCAGTCATTGTAAACGGTGTTTGTCACTGGATCAGGAAGGGTATACTAACTGTCTTATCCATTTCGATGACCGGTAGTTTGTTTTGAAAAAAGTAAGTTTTTAAAAAACTTAAAGTTAAAAAAATGTCTCTAAAAAGCAAGAACGAGGTAAAAAGAAAATTTCAGAACTAACTAAGTGTGTTTCACTCAGGACCCGTACAAGGCAAGAAAAAAGACCAAGGGCCAGTTACTTAAACGGAGTTTATAGCCAGTGTTTAACAAAACCACGTTCTAAGCCATTTTCAGTTTGCCGAACGCTTTTATGTAAATACCATTTATCGTGGACAGTTTCATAAAAGTATATGGCGTAGACTAAAAAAGGATTTTTCTTCTAAAAATAACCCTCTAGGGGTCCAAACATCTCTTAACCGCGGTCTAAGTTAGACTTCGTTTGAATAACCGGCCCTAAAAGTCATAAGTTCTCGGACGTCATGAGCTGAAAGACATATTCACGGGACCCAGTAACCAGTAAGATGATTGCTTTAGTATTCGAACCTCGAAAAAAAAAGTTACAGTCGAACCCCGCTATTTCGAAGTCCCACAGGCGGGGTTTCGAAATAACCGCGGAAGCGTAAAGGGGAAGGGTAAATCCAAGAGAATTCGATCTTCCCACGAAGACTTCGAATTAACCGAGTTCTAAATAGCGGGGTTCGACTGTATTTCCAATTTATGTTATTGAAATTAAATTTTTTAATAATTATGTAAAGAAAAATCGAAATTTGATACGGTTTTCTCGTGTTATGCTTTTAGTTAGCTTCTGAAATTCTGAATCAATTCGCCTGAAGTTTCAAATGAAAGGCTAGGCTTCTTGTTGTTGTTTTTTGTTTGTTTCCCCATCTTTTTCTGTACCTTACAGCTTCTTGTTTATTTGATACAGTCAACATCTTAGTCATTATTGGAGACCTAGTCAAAAGCTTAAAAAGTGGACACCTGTCATCAAAAAATTAAAAAGTTATAATATAAATGCAATCTTTTTCCTTTTCCCTTTTTGAAGTTATTCCGTTCATTTAGATATCCCTCACATTTATCGAATGTTTTGTTCTCCAAAAGCTAGTAACCTTTGGTTCTTAATGTATAAATGTATTCTGATTCAAAGTAATTAAATCATAAAAATTATCAAATATTAGATTCGGAGTGTGAACAATTTTTAACCGAGTAGGTTTTTGCAGATATTGTCGGGTGATTCTTTGTCAAGTAATTTATACGTTTTATCATTGCAATGAAGGTGATGAAAAGTGATTTTTAATTATTGATTTATTTCTTTTAGCTGTCCTGAGAAGAGAGAAAGAGGCAAGAAATAAATAAATCCCGAGAAGCATGTCAAATTCACTCTTATGGCTGATCAGCTTTTTCTGCTGCCATATCGTCACTGGTGATTCGTCATGCAAAAATCAAGGCGGGGTTACGCATGCTAACCCAGGTAGACTACAAGGTCACTATATTTAGCTTGATTTTTTTAAATAATGTGTTTCCAGGATATCTTTTTTCCTTAAATCACCCGAACCTTCCCTAAAAAGATATAGAAAGGACGGTTCCTAGATGTCGATATCTTTGACATTGCTTAAAGTTTTTTAATTTAATTTTTCTTAAGGGAAGCTCCGCTTTTAGGCCTGGCTTAATCCCGTATATATTATATAAATTAAATATCTAAAAAATAAATATAATGATCAAAATTAGAATTTTTCACTTGCAGGAATATTTTAATATTTACTCGAGAATGTTAATAAGTTGCATGTTAAGTTAAAGTTTAATTTTTCAGTAAAATGCATGGCCTAAATCAAAGAAATATGTTATAAAAATTAGATAATAAAAATCTTATGGGGAATGGAAAGAATTAGAAATGTATGATTACAGAAATAGAGAATTTTTACTATCTCAAAAATTATATATCTATCTCGAAACTCATCTAAGCTTTTTTCACTTGGCACAGGGGATTGCAGTAACCATTGTGAACATCACATTGTACCAAATGAGGATCACAGATCTTATAGTTGCGGCGGGAATAAAGAAACTGAGATTCCAATATTCCGTGGAGTTTATACCTTTCCGGTGGACCCAATTCCACGAAAAAATTGTTTTGACGAGGAGGCAATGCAATTTCTTCAGGATGGGGTAAGCAAAATAAAACCTAATCCCAGCCCAGCTTGTGTATCAGGCGCAGGATAAATTTGGGGTGTGCCCTCGAGGAAGGATCGGTGAATATTTGCAACAATGCGCAACACTAATATTTCTTATTCATTGGTCACTCACGCTAGATTTAAGTCGACTCGACTTATATGAAGAAGCTTTTTTTTAGGAAATGCCTGATTGTTTTCAAGTTAGACGTGAATTTGTCTGCTTGTGCTCAAGGCTGTTCATATAACAAAAACTTAACTCTTGCTTGACATGCACTTGCAAAAATTGCTTAGACATTGATACCCAGTCATTCCACCAGGGGCGGATCTAAGGGGAGGGTGCAGGCTGTTCCCCTGTTGTGTTGAAGTAAAACATGAGACGAGATTGAAGAATTTATATGTTAAACGCCGTAAACATGGTAGTTTAGCACGTCACATCACCAGTCAGTTACGCCTTTCGTTAGTGGTGCACCCCCTCCTAAGAAAAATCCTGGATCCCCCCTGTTCCACCTTAAATAGCTCGAAGTATTTTTTTTTTGCAGTATCCGGTGGTTCTTGAAAACTGCACGTTTCACAAACCAGCCATGAAATGGACCATAAATTATCTCAAGGAAAACTTGAAAGACCTCCTAGTGTGTCGTATAAAAAGCTTTCTGTCCATTTGACATCCGAGCTAATGGTCGGCGACAAGCCCTTTTACTCGGGTCAATTCTTTTCCAACTAACATTTCGATTATTCGTCTTTGAAATTTGTCGAACATACCCTTCCTTATGAAGAGTTCATATGTCAAGAGACTACAGTAGGATACGACAGAGATTATACGTTTTTACAGAAATAAGCTGAAGCTTATATAGTTAATGAAGAGAATCCTACATTTAACGCAGGCAGCTGCATGATCAGCCAGCTTTGTACAAGGAGGAGGAGATTATTGAATAATCTGAGATAATCTATTCTCTTTCTTCAACATCAGAATATTCCTTTACTATGACGATGACCGAATCAAGGGAGCGTTCAAGGAGTGGCACCCACCTACGAAAAGGATGTTGATGTACTTTACGAATTTTTCAGAATTAATGGATGAGCTTGAAACAGCTAACAATGGGAGCCGCGCTTATTTCCAGGTATGGCAAATGCATCTAAATTAGACCTTGGTTGATAAAGAGTGTTCTCTTGGTCGTATGTTGGCGACAATAAGATTAAGGACATCAAGGATTGCAAATGGTTCAAATATACTTTTGTGGGCTCAGTTTACATCTTCGGCTCAAACTTTCTTTTCCTTTTCTAACTCATTAACTTACTTTACCATATATGCATACCCAGAACTGAAGTAAATATAAAATTTGATTTAACCACAACATAAATTTATTATAACACTGGGGTGTGCCTGAAAAGCGACCTCGTCAATTTTATAGATTTAATCTGAATATGCCCTTTCCAGCACTGTTTAAAATTGCAGTCGTATTAATACTTGACCACTGGCAGTCGCCTTTTTCAATGTGGTAGTCCAGTTCAAGAGTCCGCCATTGGGAGCTCACTGTTTTCTTTTTTGTTCACAAATTGTGAGACAAGGCATTAATGGTACGCTTCTATTAGTCACTTAGTATAAAATGATAGGAATGCTACTGAACACATGCACGTTAAGTACTAAAAAGCTAACAAAAACATATATCACCCCACATAATTAAGGGAGTTCGAATTATGGAATCCTGGAATTTGGAATCCGGGATACAGCTCAAAGATTCCGGAATCCCACTAACGATTGGAATCCATAATCCAAGTTCCATTGAAAAAGACTGGAATCGAGTACCTTTGAATCTGGAATCCGTGGCGTGGAATCCAGAATCTTGGATTCCCTTTTATCGGACAACATGTAACAGAGAAGTCTTATCAGTAGGCTGCATATCGATCACCATATCTTCTATGACGGACGTACTTTAACTCTATGTTTTTGCATTAATATAGTCATTAGTGTACCTTCAGGATGGTGTGAGTGACTCTTTGTGGAAGGATGTCAATTCTTTCAACTATAGTTTTTTGCTTGACCTTGTAACGCGCTTGAACTGGGGCGAGGATGTTTCTAACTTGCTATTGGTTGGAATGCCGGATGTAGTGACGCCTGCGCACTTTGACATCTTGGAAAATCTTTATGTCCAGGTGGGTAATAATCCAGTTTCGAGGAACCTTGTGGTCCCTCCCATTTTCCAAGGGAAAATCCCTGGGAACGAGCTGAATTTTTAATTTGCCATGACCGCTGAGTGAAAGAACTGAAGGGGCACTTTGACAGGGTTAGCCCGCATTTGAAGTGGATATATTGACAAATCCCAGCGAGAAGATAAAAAATGTTTACAACTCTAAATACAAAAGGGGCTATTAACGTATTTAAAATTTCAAGGGGAGAACGTTTAGAACCAAGTCCCTTGTACCACACACGAGATGTACGTCATCTGATTAAGGTTTGAATATTCCTTGATGTTCAATGTCTGCAGGGTGAAGACTCTTTTTTCAAATGTCAAACGGGCTGGTGATGCAACCAAAATCATGCAACTTTGACAGAAAATACCAGCGAAAATAGTGTACCTCGGGTTTCAATTGATTGGAATGGAGTTTAGTCATAGCCCATCAAAAGGCAAAAAAAAAAACAAAGAAAAAAAGAGAGAAACTAAAGAAAAGAAAAGAAAGAAAGAGGAACGACAAATGGAAAGAAAGTAGAGCGAAAAAATAAAAATAAAAAATTGCCTTCTGCAAATGCATCAGGAATGACAGCGAGCCTAGTTCTCGACTTGTAAACAAAGTTTTGTCTTCTGGTTTTGTTGAAAAGCCAGAAAACGGCTTTTCAACGAAATGTTCTGGGGTTGAAATAACGACAAAACTGAAAACGGACCTATGGACGTATCCCTAAAAGACAGAAGTTAGTCAAGCAATACCGTTTCGAATGGTCACGCCTATTACTTATTTAACTATAAAACTGAGTGATAAGTAATAATAAAAATATCTTTACCTGCAGATCTTTGGAAGGAAGAGAGTTATTCTGTNTGAAAACGGACCTATGGACGTATCCCTAAAAGACAGAAGTTAGTCAAGCAATACCGTTTCGAATGGTCACGCCTATTACTTATTTAACTATAAAACTGAGTGATAAGTAATAATAAAAATATCTTTACCTGCAGATCTTTGGAAGGAAGAGAGTTATTCTGTTCAGTCCAGATTATTTTGGTTCTCTTTACCCTTATCCTGTGGGACATCCTCACGATCGACAAACTCAGGTGAGAATATTTTAAATATTCATCAGCCTTTTATGCTCTAATCTTTTGGTGGTGTTGATTGGAAATAAAGGAACCGGCGCGAAGGACAAAATTGTGTAAAAGTTACACATGGTCTGAAATTAGGCATCATATCAAATACGATGTAAACTTTTTTTGTCAAACGTGTTTCGTCCTTGGTAAAATGGTCTTATTTCAGCTTAAGCCCATAGCGTTCACGGTTCGGTCAATTCTGGACTCTACCGTGAGCTGTAACGTCATCAACAGAGATTCGACCACCCTTTCCCAGACTTCGTGCGGATAACGTAGCATGAGAGAGCGCCTAGGGACCAGGCTGGTCTGATTAGGCATGAACAGATTGTGCCAGTAAATCCAGCAAAGGTTGCTTGAAAATACACCCAAAAGTTGCTCTAAAGTTGCTAAAAAATTTAAAAGTTGCCATTCAAATTTAGAAAAGTTGCTTACTTTTGAGAGTCATTTTGTTCTAGATTACTACTCAAAACATGACGTTGTATGTGTAATTTAACATCATTTGTTGTGATCAATATAATCTTTAAGCTCAACGTAACTAATAATAGAAAGTATTTTCTAATGACGTTTCTAATGAGTAAACATCACAATGTTTGCTATAGATATCATAGTACTGACTATACACTTTAGACAGTGATCAAGTTTACAGCCTTTATCTTATCTTATCACGATAAGATACAATAATGCAAAGAGGTTGTAAACTGGATGTAAGCGCCCGTTAGATAGATAGCTGCTGTCCAGTTCGTGGGCGAACCTGTTATTTCATAAATTATTTGTAAGAACGTACGACAGCCTTAGTTTTTACCAGTTTTAATAAAAATCTTTTAATAAAGACCTTTTTTATGGTTTGGTCAGTTTTTAACTATTTGTTGACTCAAAAGTTGCCAAGGAAGGCAAACGTTGCTCTAGGTTGCTCGAAGTACAAAAAGTTGCTGAAAACGCTAAAAGTTGCTCAAAAGTTGCCGAGCACAATCTATTTATGCCTAGGTCTGATGCCAGGTCTAATGGTCTAATTCCAGTGCAATGCGCTCCTTACCCATCCCCCAAAGCTGTCTCGCAGAAGTTTTACGACCATCGCATTCCCGTAATGAGTCTGCTTGATTTGGTCAGGATGTTAGCTAGAAGGAAAGGCTTATTGTTTAAAGCTTGTTGGACAAATTTAGATGTCTCGGTATGCATTCAACAAATGCCATGTTTGTATGTAATTCAATCCGATAATCGCTACGTATGAGGGTTTGGATGTTGATATGCTCTCAAAAATATTTGTTCTGTTCGCCTACGAAATTCACCTCTTTCTCTGTGCAGGTGGACTTTGAAAACCCGGACTTGAGCAAGTTTCCTCGATTTAGCGAGATCAGGGGCATGGAGGTATCCCTTGAACCAGATGAAGTACTTTACATTCCAAACTACTGGTGGCATTACATCGAAAGCGAAAGTCACAGGTAACTCTTCCGCGGTGTTAGCTCATGATCAGTTATCGCAACTGCAGCTCTCTGTTATAGGGTGCGGTGAGAGGGTGTAGAGTTCATTCTCGGTGCTCCTGCCTTCCAGGGTTAGTCATCATGAAAACTAGTACATGCTCTAATCACACCAAGAGACATTATGGTCTTTGAAATTTCAAGAATAAAAATCGGAAGTAAGTGGCAAAATATCGCTCATGATTTTATTGTGGGTATTCGCCCATTCGATTCCCCTAAAACCTGGCCGTTTCACTTGTCCAAAATTTTCTTGTGGGTCTTCAAACAAATATTAAAACTTTGGATTCGTGGAAGAGATTTGATAATTTTTCGTCGAAGTTTCTTAGAAACTAGATAGACACGCTGGAAAGTTTCTTTGTGTACTTTATTTTTTCCACCAAAAAAGGTTGCACTGCTACTTTTACTGTTCGATGGAGGTTAAGCCCTCTCCCAATCACAAAATGATAAAACTTCTAACATTTGTTAACTTAGTTGTTTCCTCTACTACGACATTCTCGCAAAAACCCGCAGTAGAATGACACGACGGCCATCACGTTTTCCCTCCAAAATGTCGCTGGTTCACACGCACTCACTATTTTGTATTGAGGAAACCTCGTTCTCGCAGTCGTGCTAGTCATAGAATCTTAAGGTTTTGTTTTGCATATATTGTGAACTGTAAAGAGACCATAATAGGACCTATTATGTATTGCTGAGACTGTCCCTCATGGCCTACCTGATGTTAACAATCTTGTTCTTCTTCTAGTAAAACCATATCAATGAATTTCTGGTTTGATCCAAAGAACGATACCAAAACAAAAAGCGATAACGCCACTGAGAAGGTGGATACCTCAAGTGTTCAACTGGAAACTGGCGAAGACCAACAAGAAGGTGGTAGTCTTAAAACTGATGGAGATGATGCAAAGGAAACGCAGTCAAACGGCGAAGGTGCGCATGCGCTAAGTGAATCCGAACGGAATAAAGATACACATCCCGAAGGCCAAGTTAAGATCGACGATCGAACGAAAGTTAGTTTTGAAGAAACAACCACAGAACCTAAGGCAGAAAAAGAGAAAGCAGTCGAAGAAGATGAAAAAGAGATCGAGTTATCTGCAAGTCAATATATAGCACTTCTGAGGGAAACGGAGACATCACTCTTCAAAGCTACTTTCAGCCACAAGAAGGTACTCTCGTTCAGAGCACTTTTTAACAGTTTTTTAAAGTGATATGCATGAATTGGAGGAAAAGGAAAATGTCTGATGTTGCCAAAAAAAGACTTTAAGTTTGTTTATTCTGATCTGGCTTCGCGATAAAATAAATATCATGATCAGCGAGGAAAATCAAGGAATTTTTGCCTTGACTAAAGGCGGATTTCCCCTGTCGCGTATTTTTTCGAGCGCGCGCAAGTACGCAAATTTTACTCGCGTAAATAAAATAGGGGTCCTTCTATGCATTGCCTCATATTATTTAGGCGCGTAAACTGAACGTGGGTACGCAAGTAAAAATTACCCAACAATGGAAATCTGCCTTAACTGAAGCCACAAGATCACATGGCGGAAGTATGGAAGACCTGTCGAATTTTCTGCGATTGGGCAAGAGGCCTTGTCGGTGTTGTGTCGAATTGCACTGTGCAACTGTTATGGGGCGCGAATTTTGATTCAGCTTTCCTGTTTTGCGCAACCTCGTAAATCCTCTGGTCGTAGAAGCCAATTAAAGAAGCGCTGGCGTCTCCAATACTGTCCCATACGCCACTTGCACGTCTGATATAATGCACCTTATTTGCCCACCAAAGTTTTTGCATAACCTTTGTTTTTCATTTCTCCTACGTATTACAGCTGTCCCAAGAGAAATTGAAAACAATGCACATGCAATTTTTTTTTTGGGGGGGAGGGGGAGGGGGAGGGGGGGGGCAAATAAGGTGCATTGTGGGAGACGTGCG